TCGAGGCTGCTCAGTCTCATGATGTGATTTGTGACTAGCTAGGTGGATCAACCATAAATCCCTTTTCTCTGCTTTCACCAGAATGAGAAAAATAAATCGTAAATCTCCCTACCGAGCTGCTTTCCTCGACCTCTGGAGCAAGTACATCGATATCGTCGTTATCGGACGGCGTCCCATTTGAAAACGATAGCCAAGCCCTTGCCTGTGAATTCCTAGCTTTATTGAATCTCAAGTCACCGATTCACCCAATCCCCTAAATTGAACACACACACACCTTGGTTCTGGGTGTATTTTCGTCAGTTGCCTCATCGCCATGCGTGGGCGATTCACCTGTTGCTGTGGAGGCAGTATTTTCATTAATGTCTGGTGAACGAGCTGCAACCAACTCAGTTGGAGAATTATCTTGACGAGTCAGCATTACATCACTCACGTATTCGACCTGGAATAGTGTTTAGAGAAAAGTTGGGAAAAATTCTGGCTGTCAGCCACTGTTCATCAGTTGTCAGCAGGTGCAGGTGTTGGGTGAATAAGCTCGGTTGTCAACAGGCGCTGGGAAACTGGCAAACGGGCGAAATTTCGGAAAATTGGAAAGCAGGAGTGGGTGGGACGGAAAAATCGAGAGATGCCTCTAGTGTGCTCTATTTTTGGGAGTTCACGATTTAAATCAAGTCAGAAATAGGTTCAAATACGCTTTCAGGATTAATCGAAGCATTTGACTGGTTACGGTAAGGCAGAAAATTGGGTTGGACCAATGCTAATTCCTGCTCCAGTAACAATTAGGTCCAAATGGCTGCTTTCATAGTCCACGATTTGGCCCGCGACCGATCGCGCGACCGGGCGCGGGCCAAATCGTGGACTATGAAAGCAGCCAATGAAGAGTAGTTAGCAGGCATATGCTAGACATGGTTAAGCGTAGCGTTAGCTGAGCAACCGTGTCCGTATTAGTCAGGGGCCGTAAGGTATGCTCTCGGGAAGAGCAGAGAGATAGATGCTTTCGGGGAGAACAGAGAGAGAGAGAGCCGAATCGGGGCGTCCAAGCTCCAAAAACGAGAGCGTACCTTACGGCCCCAGAAGGGGAAGCTGTAAAAGGAAGCGATCGAGGGAGCGAGCATTACCAGCGAGCCACTGAAATGACTAGTTGTGCTAGATACCTTTTTGTACCTCACATCGTACTGATCATCTGATCCAGTATTTGTGTCGATTGCATTTGCTGTGTTATCACCTCCAACGGCCGATGGTTGAAGTGGTTGAGGCCGTGCTGCAGCCGATTCCAAAACGGCATTGGACGTGGAATTTTCATCAATTAGGCGAATTTCGATCCTTTCGATCGGTGCATCTAGACGTTCCACTGAAAAATTCGTTATTCATATGTTTCCCAGTTGGTCCGGGAAGATTCGCATTAGGGAGGGGATCATTGGTGTAAGACGCTATGACGGGGAGGGGGCAGGTATGTGCAAAGGCCTCACTTCCGGCACTCTCATCGGAGTGATAGAGCAAATCAGCTACGCGGAAACGTGCGAACAACCACCGCAATTTGCTGATTTACGAGGATCGCTGAAGTTAGTCGTGGGTGCGATGTTGGAGTTATTTCTCGCAGTTTTAGCCCTCAATTCAGTACTGCAAAAGACGGGGATTGTGGAAAAAGTGCAGCTGTTTGATATGACGCACAAAGTGGAACATTTTTTGAAGGGTCGTGATGGAATCGGAACTCTTTGACGTCGTGATGTCGTAGGTATGATGATGGATTGGGTCAGGCGGAGCAGGGTCCACTACGTGGCTACAGAGGGTAGGCTCTGAAATTTCGGTTACGACCATCGAAAACAACAAAATAAGGAGCTAAAAAGGTCACAATTACGTATTAAAGGGAAGTAATTAGAAAAAAATATCAAGGAAGGGTATGGGGTGTTATCCTCTCCTACGCCTCCCACGAAAGCCACATGTCCTTCCCAAAAAAGCCAATTCTGCTACTAGTCAAATAAATTTCGTTGGATCAGAATCGGACGACTTACCAGTAAACGTTGCCATTGTGGACGAGTTATCATTGTGTCGTTTTGCTCTATACGGTAGTACATCATAATGAATCGGTGAAGGAAGAACGTAGGCCACCGTCGTCAGTAACACGAGGCCCACACGATAACACATCAGACACTGAAGCCACATGATATTAAGCCAATGAAAACTCGTCCAATGATATTAGTATTACGAATAAGTAGGTTACTGTAATTGGAAAAAGTCCGGGAAAGTTACGGTGGGGATATTAAATATTCTATGAGATACGAATCAATATCAGAGCGGATCAACGATGGAATATTTTTCTGAAAAAACTCAAGTGCTGGCTCACCCGGAAGCCTTCCCAGTCATACCAACCATTTGGGAGCTTCCTAGCACTTGGAGCTTCCTACTTTAGAGACAAAATAGGCTGAGATTCATGGGTTCGAACAAGGGGTGAGGCCGTCTTTGAATCATTGGATCTTCCCAACTAGAAAAGTTACTTGTTTTGAGTAAAGCGAAGCTACGGTAATACCAAAAATAGATTTTAAATAGCATGAATATTAGAAAAAACCGATAAATTATGACGAGTGTTTCAGGTTCTCGAACTACTGTTAGTGTTGATTAGCTGGGATAGATGACAAGCGAAGATGAAACAGCTGACATCTCAGGGCGGGCAAGAAGATGAAGAAGAAGAAGAAGACAGAGAGAGGGAGAGAGCCGACGAGAGCGTAGTGAAGCAGAGAAAAAGAGAGGGAGTTTATTTACTGATTACAAGGCGTCATTCAAACAAATCGCTTTGGTACTGGTTTAATCAGTTGGGATGTAATCCAAAACTGGGTTCGCTGCTACTTTTTGACGGGGTTCTGCGATTTTTCCAGTTTTTTTCCCGGCAGCAAAGAACAAAATATTTCTGGAAAAATCAACATTGGAATCGTTGGCATCCATGGTATGATGATGGGAAGCCCCAGAGATATTTGTAGAAACCTCGTGATTTCCTCTGCAAGCGACAGAGCACTGGAGCGACAGATGGACCTATCTGAGCGCAGAAGGGTTAAGGATCACCCTGAGAGTTAACCTTGGTCGTACAGCTCTTCACTACGGATTAGACCCGAATTTTGCCCTCGGCCACCCCCAGAAGGGGTGGGATAGGCGTGTTCAAAGAAGGTTTCAGTACATAGATAATCATCACAAGCCGTTGGCCGTTTGCCGTTTATCTGAGCCCTTGGCCAAGAGGGTATGTCCAGCATGCGGTGGTTGCGTTGGCCCCGTGCGGTGAATTACCTTCGTAACTTCCGGAAGTAACAACTGCCTTGGGCCATAATTAGGCTTATACCCATCACTTCCTCCCCAGTCCTCTGCCCTTCATCACTCTTGTAACCCTTTCCTATGTAGCCAGAAAAAAAANAAAAAAAAGCGTGCCAGATTTCCACCTTCGTAACTGTCGGGCAGTTTTGAGGTATGAGGTAGTGCCTGTAAGTGAGAGTATCTAAACCAAATCTATCCATCTAAAAAAGTAAACAAGAAAACATTCATGTCATGGTAGTGTGGATATCAGAAAGAATGCTTCCGGTGGTAGAACTTTTGTATTGCCTGTGTTCAGCCTGTAGGGCGAAAGAGTCAGGAAATACAGCGGAAACAATGGAAGGGAGCTCGGAAGTGTTGGCCGGTCAATGAGCAGTTCCTAATGGCTTTGAATAGGGCTTCTTTCTCAATGCTTTTTCTGAACGGCATTCCTGAAGAATTTATTACCAAAGAAAAACATTCCGAACGGCTGACCACGAACTCCTCCTGATACTTTCAGAAGGGTGAAAGTAGTACGTTCTTATTTTGAACTGGGAAGGCCTATGGGGAAGTTATTGTAAGCGATGGGCGACGTTTACGCTTTGCTCCATATATCCCAACCGATTGTACCAATTTGGAGCTCTACTCACACCTTAATGGTTTCCACTTGAGCCGTCGATGATTTGTTCCTACTACAGAGATAAGCAAATCCAAAAGTGAAAACTTAGCCGTAGTGCAGTGCCAGTTGTCGCCCTATCGCAGGCATAGTCCCGAGATCGAATCCCGAACTGATAACCGCCAGAGCAACCAAGCCTTGCACCTCTCTGGGTCGCTTGTTCGGTTTCGTTTCATCTGGGAGGATAAAAGCGTTTACTTGAACATTAGGAAACCACCGCAACCATTGTATGGGCCTCATATGCCGAATTGAGAAGAGTTCAAATTTGAGTAATTTTCGATTCGGAACTTGGTTATTATATATTCATCGATCCCCCTGTCATGGCACCGCAGTCGACTTGATCACCTTCCACATCACCCTTTATCAGGCTACTTATTTATTTATTTATTTGTCGATGACGTCATCTAGAAGGCATGCCGTCACTTGTGATTGAGATGGTAAGCTGAGAAGGGACCGCATCGAAAAACAACAAACAAAAAACACTGAGCGCTACGGCAAAGGACTTGTTCATGGAAAACCAATCAATTCCTAATTTATTCTACATCACAGTATAAAGCTTATGTACAAATATCATACAGAAAGATGACAAGGAGATGGTCGAAAGGCCGGCGGAGGTAGATTGTAACCCTTGATTACAGATAAGCTCATCAGAACATGTAAATTAGCTCTAGAACAAAATGATAACTGTGCGGAAATCTTAAAAAGGAGTCGCTGTAGAAGTACTTTACAGTAATTCGAGACCAGTCGGGCACCTTGTACTGGGTGGATTACTCAGTTCGTCTTTCAATAATCAGTGGGATACCGTTACTTGGCCTAAGAATCATTTCCGGTAGACCGCGATTCTCCTTGAAAGTCATTGTGGCACGGAAACGAAATTGACGTACAAGTCGGGCCAAGAGTACCTTTTCTTCCATCACAGCAAATCTCTGGCCTGAAATATGGATGGGTCAAATAAGTAGGTAAATAAATAAAATTATATAGTAACTTCTGGTACGTAACAATGATAACCACTGTTGATTCGATTATGACGAAGTACGGAGTAAGGATAAAAAGTATGAAGACTTGTAGCATTAATCAATCTCGTCTGAGGGATGCGCCACGCATTCGACTGTCATTCAGAATTGTAGTGACGTGATGAATGTGTGTGTGGCCTATACAGTGACTTGCGCTGCCGATGTACAAGTCAGCGCTTTTTATCCCCCAGTCGAGTCTGGGAAAAATTATCCGACCCGTGAGGGATAGAAGGCTTGGTTGGCCTTGGCGGATATCGATCCGCGATTCGAACCCGTGACCATGCGTGTCTGATAGTGTGCCACTTGCCGCCACACCACCTCCGACCATAGAGAAATACTTCACAATAAGTCTTTTTTTCTGATTTTACCGATCTTCCACTGATTACTTGAGAACGGTTCAACCTGCCCTTCCTACACATCAAGTTTATTCAATGAGCTGATGCAGCTAAAAAGTAGTTCAGCATCCTTTGGCAAGTATTAGGGAGGTAGGTAATTTGGTAAACAAATAAATAAACAAGTAAGTAAGCCAATGAATGGGTGAATAAATAAGTTATCAAGGGAACAGCGAGCTGGAACAAAACAAAGTGTTTTCATTGAGCCCGTTTCTAAGCACCGAGTGTTAGTCGTCTTCGAGGGAGTCAGTTGGAACACGAATGGCTACGTAGCGATAGTTTAGATCAGCACTGTGATTTAAAGCTAGTTGTCTCGCTACTCCAATCTTCACTTTGTAGTACTGTAAGAAAGTTCTGTCTTACCGATGCAGTTTCTTGGACCTGCAGACCATGGAATGAATGCGTAGGCACTGCGATTGGAACAGCTATCAACATCAAAGTGATCGGGCCAGAAGTCTCGTGGGCGTTCGAAATACTGTAAAGTAACATCATACAACTCTATCGCAATGGTATGGGTCTTCAGAGGGCAACTTTGGACGAGAGTAACTAAGCAGTAAAGTACGAAACACCAGAATTTCCTTCAAGCTAAAGGATAAAACCCAGACTAGACGAAATTGTTACCTTAGGGTCCCTGTGTGTACCGAACGGTACGACTAATGCCGTGACACCAGCTGGGATCGTAATGTCTCCTGAAATTCACAATGATCGGTAAAGGCTCATTCTTGCGTGCCTCTGCTGTGCCCCACAAACATGCAGTACGCGGCCCTCAATTTGGAATCTTCTTTCAGTTTCTTTAGTTTTCTTCTTGTTTCTTGTCGCCCTATCTTTTTCCTCTCCTCTTTGGGAATTTCCTGGTCAGTTATGTTCTGCACTGAACTCACCGATGTCGACATCGTCGTGAAGTCGTCGAGCAATCATCGGCACCGGTGGAAACACTCGGAGAGCTTCTTTGAGTACCTTCTCGGTTTGCTTCAACTGGATCAAGTCGTCCTGAGTCAGATCGCGATCCACTGGCCCTGAACTAGTGAACCCTATGGCTGCTTTTTTGGTTCCGTGAAGCGGCTGGCTTGAAATTTCAATTCTAACTACGAAACAAGCCATTTCTCGATCTTCTGAGGGCTCAAGGGTCTAGTCGATGAATGAGCAGATACCACTTAAATAAGGAAAGTTTCATCACCTTATGGAGAATTCGACTTACCAATTACTTCCTTGACCTCCTGGAAGAGTTTTTCTTGTTCTTCAGGGTAGTTACCCAGGCAAAACAGTGCATACCCAAGGGCACTGGCAACAGTGTCGTGGCCTAAAAAGCGTACGATTTTTGATAACTTCGCCAGATGTTGGTAAATGCTTGTCAAATACAAAACAGCGGTGAGAGAATATTTGGAACGAACCTTCAAACATGAATGTGTCCACTTCTTCTCGGATATCATCATCTGTAAGACGATTTTCCTGCTGCATTCCAAGGAGCAGGTCGAGGAATGCTGGTTTCCTATGCGAGTCCCGTTCTTCAAGATCGAATACCTTCTTCCTTTTTGCAATCACCTATAAGTGACTTTATTAACAGAAAATGAGACGAGACAACTCAAGGACCTGGGAAGCATGGTAACCTTATTTAACATGGGCGAATGTTAATCAGGAATTTTGGACCATGGGTGGGATAGTCCACCAGGTGGTACTTTTCTACGTGCACCGATCTAACCAATGCGAAATCGGAAGCCACAACATTTACAATTTTTTGTCAGAAATTTGAAACTAACCGCACGAGTGAAGCCTTGGACCGTGGCGAGAGCTGTTTGGAGTCGTGCTGCTTTCCCAGAAAGAATCCACAGTGGCGTTGGCCACAACCATGGAAGCCGCTCACGATCCCACAGCAACTCACAAACTTCTTTCACCGACTTCACATAATTCTTGTTCTGGCCGGATTGGGCTCGGATATTTACGCCCATGGCGGATTCTGAACGAATAGCTGGATAAACGGTGGAAAACCATCTCCATGAAAGTCATCAGGAGAGAGGGTCAAAACGTATCGTGCAAAAAAAATTTCGAGAAACTTGTCACCGACATCGATATCGAATCAAAAAAGAGGGTTAATAATGAAAATAAAGTTGACATAATAATAAAAGACAAAACTACCGCAGATAACATCTAAGGTGCAGAGCTTGATGAGAGGAAAAACATCTGCCGTAGAACCTGTATCCGATAGTCGACCGAATTGTTCAAGAAGGATTGCTGCCTCCTGTAAAGATCATTTTTCAATCAAAGGGTACAGTAATGCAGCTAGGAAGTATATTTCTCTGAAAGCGCTCGATTCGCTAAATTTCCTCACCAGGAACTGGAAATTGATAAAAAATTTATAGAGAGGATAGAACAGTGTCTAACAACAGACCCCATACAGCAACCTTGAACCACCCCTCCGCTCTTCCGCGTCCACCCCTCCCTCTCCCTCTCTATCGCTGCCCCTCCATTTTATCCGATTTTCACGGGATTATTCAGCCGATGAGGGGCTCTAAAGTTGTCTAAGGGAAATAATTCTCAATCATCTACGAAAAAGCGGTACCTTATTGAAAATGGGCATAAAATCCTTGAGAATCGAAAAATGAAATGCAGGTGTCAGCATTTTCCTTTTCGCTCGCCAACGTTCTCCATTGCTGAAGTCCTTCCAATCACTATCAGAAAGAATTAAAGCAAAGAACGTAAAAGTTCCTTGGAGATGATCAATCACCTAGTGAGAAGGCCCCTGCCGAGCCATTCTTGTAGTCGAGTATAACCTTCTTGTGGTTTTGAAATCTCCTTGCTACTTTCCAGAATCACCTGAAATACCGTTTTAGTTAATGTTTAAGTGAACCTTTAATTTTCTTCTTCTCATTAAGCCAAAGTTATGTCATTTCCATANATACACTTTTTTACAGGGTTTTTCGTAATGGATCAATAAAAGCAAATAAGAATTTGTAAAGCTTGTAAACGTGAGGGAGTCCTGATTAACCTTAGCTGCATCGGCTCTACAAATACAGACAACTGGAAATGGACCGATCCACATTCGAAACATTCCGTTACCATTGAGACCGTCAGCATACTTTTCGAAAGTGTCCTCCATGAAGTAGGTAAACTCTGAAGATGACTAAATAGAAAATTCAATCTAAACAAAGTGTCTAGAGGTTGAATGGTCGAATTTTCTGAAAGAAAATCTAGCAGGAATTATAAAATCCTAAAAAATACCGAAAAAAAGCCTGCAATTGAGAGCGCATAAAACGAATTTCAAATGATAGTAGTAAATAAATAATCAAAAGAAAAACAATTCTCCGTACAACCTGCAAGCTCATGGAAAAAGCAAAAAAAAATGAATGAAATCTAAATTAAGCTTACTGTAATTGTCGAAGCTGAATTTGTGAGCACATCCGATCAAAGGAAGAGCTGGAGGCCCAGGTAAGCGATCAACTGCTCGGATTACTCGTAATCGTTGCTTGAACCATCGAATCAGTGATGGAATCCACATCAGTAGATGAGAAATCGCTATGGAAGCGATGGCTAAGGCGATCAGCCCCATTTTGCTAGTCGGATTTCTTCCAGACCGCTCTGATTCTGGAGCTAAAGTAAGGAAGAAGTAATATGGACAGCACCACGAGATGGAACGAGAGAAAGTCCCGCTAAGAGATGCCCACATTGGAAATGCAAGAGAACTATCAAAATAATTCTAGGAAAAGCTGCAATAGAATCCGAGGTTAGCTCAGAACTACGTAAAGATTTTAGAGCCTAATGGAAGGATCTTGATTACTTCACTCCCTTGGCTTTCCCCACCCTCTTGTGCCACTCACTGGAACTCATTTCCACTACGGATGGGGATTTCTTGTGACGGTGACCACTGTAACATAGCAAATTCTAGGATCTTTTTATGAAGTATTCTTTGTACTCTATCATCTGAGGGGTTTTTAAATTCATTCATTGGAACTTCAGCCTTATATTACCATTAGCCAGTTCTTGACCGATAATTTCGGCTCTAGAAATGACGATAACAGCCCTGAGAACTGAGAACTGCATGTGATAATTGGTTTATGATCGTTTCTATGGAATTTGTGTAAACTATCGTTCCTTCTCAGCATGTGAGTATATGATATATGCAGTAGAACGAATGAACAAAACTTTTTCTAAAGATGTCCCTACAATTGAGGATTTGACCCTGATTGAAGATTCCGTTCGGTTGAACATACATATGTAGGTCTACCCTAGACTGTTGTAGTCACTATAGAGATGGTCACTTGGACCCCGTAAAAACCCAACCAAACCCCATTTTCGAAAAACCCTTGCTCATACGTCGAAAAGAGTTCAGTGCCTTGTAAAAATAATGTAAAGCGATGAAAGCTCATTACAAAGGTATAGGACATCTTGCAAAATGTTCCAAGGGTTGACTAAGGAATGATTATTTATTCACATTATAATTTGAGCCTTCGTTGACATGCTTACCCCGTTACCCTTTGCAAATCACCTGTTGGTTGATACCAGAACAACTTGGAAAGATAACAAGCCCGACTTTTCTACTGGTCGGTCATTGCAATTCATTGCACATACGCATGTAAACCGCTAAAATGATTTTGCGAGAAATCGAATGCGAGGCGCATTCTCAGAAATTAACAGGCTATAGCTAAAGAGTTGAGAATTTCTCTTCAAATTTGAAAAGTTGCGTAGTGGACTGCTACTGCAAACAACAGTAAACAAAACAAAAGGGCTAAGTTCGAAAAACAATTTCATTATGTAACCTGTATATTAGAGTAATTATTAACTGATTACTCCGAGTGTAAAGATGTAAGTACGGTACCGACAAAGTGAAACCATTAGACCAGATAAGGAGGTGACTAGAAACATTCGAAGGGTGTAGCACCAATGGACAGACACGAAGGTACTCTGACCGAGAAGACAGTAAACTCGGACAAAGCCGATGAATCAGACGGTGGCTGGGGGTGTAACACTGCCAAATGAAGCAAGCAGTATAGACAAAATAGCGTTGATGACATACGGTTTGAAAGGAAAGTGATCGTATGAGGGGCATATGTATTGTGTAACTCTGACCGAGAAGACAGTAAACTCGGACAAAGCCGATGAATCAGATGGTGGCTGGGGGTGTAACACTGCCAAATGAAGCAAGCAGTATAGACAAAATAGCGTTGATGACATACGGTTTGAAAGGAAAGTGATCGTATGAGGGGCATATGTATTGTGTAGACGAGTATTTTCGATGTTCGCCGAAAGTGTAATGTTATTCCCCGAACTCGTGCTGATTAGACCACACGAGAGGCCTAATTAAACCCACAATTCCGAGTCACCTTGATCACATGAACTCCTTAGCTTTAGCGAATTGGCCAGTTTGGAACAGGAAATCTCAGCGTTTCCTAATCTGATGTAAAGATTCCTCATTCGTTTGGATGGCTCAGTGAAAGGAGCTCGCCGGAGAACAGAATCTTTTCAAGAGGGAGCCTTCGTTAAAGGTAACCTAAACTGGCAGTAAGTAAATCTGAAAAGCCCCAATCACCTAACTTTCAGTGTAGCAAAGTGCTTTCATCTCAGCAATCAAGATTGTACCTTACAACCCATTTGGAGACCCCGCTTGCTCTAGTGGCATGGCTTCAAAATCTAATCCTTGGGCAGCACGGTAACATACCCACTTTTCTTCTCCTTTCTACAACTTAGAAGAAAAACTTCAAAAAATGAACAATTTTTATCTAGCAGAACCCGATTCAAAGGACCAAAAGACTAGGCCTCTCAAGTCAATCTAGTTGCCGGGATACGCCTCGCACTCGACGTCTATTCAGAATCGTAGTTGCCCATGCTATCAATTGCCGTGACTACCCAGTGTACAAGCCAGTGGCTTTATTGTTCCAGATAAGTTTGATACCAACATCCGACGCCGAAGGGATGGTGGACATTTTTTCGGGACTCGATCTCATTACTATGCGTGTAATGGTGCTTTATTTGCCTCTACACCACCACTTCAGAACTTCGGTCACATGAGTGCCTCCAGAAAAATCATAGTTCACTATTTGAAGCATATCGTGGATTTTTCATAGCTTATTTTTCTGATTTGCTTCTCAATGAATGACTTAAGGAACAAATACTAGTCATAGACTTTTTTTGTGTTTTCTTGAAATTATCCTGAAATGTTCTTCATGGTTTCTGGTTTCTTGACATTCGACGAGAAGATTCCTATATTGAGTGGGTAGAATTCACGTGCAAAAGTACTCTGCACCATCTTTTTTTGTTTTTTATTTGACGAGTATAAATGTTTGTAGAGTTACTTGTGAATATACAGAAGCTGATCGACCAAAAGCTTCCTACAACGTTTGCGATCAGAAATGGTTTGCTTGAAGTGGACTGATATGAGTAAACTGCGTCAGTCGGTGTTATCTTTCTTTATCGCTCACTACAAAAGCCATCGCGGACAGGCGATGCCTTTGTGCTCCGTGCAAATATGGTAGGTCCTTATCTTCAATTTTTGGTCCCCACCGTTCTCATCGTAGCCGCTCTTGTCTTCGCCACTGCCTCTGCTTTTGCTTTTAATCCTCAATCAAGTGAGTTTCTTATGAGTCTGTGGACCCACAGGTCCCACTTTTAAAATGGGGTCGATTTCGGATGTTGTCTGGTAGTAAGACGGGAATTAGGACCTATCTCTCGTGGTTGGTGGGGACTTCTGCTACAGGTCCAAAGGAGTCTACAGGAACCACCCCTCATCAAAAACTTTTGAGAGCCCCATTCAACTGTATATGATAGTCCTTGGATTACGGTATTTCAGAAAGAGTTCTTCGAGAAGCTGAACAACTGACTGGTCTCGAACTGGTCGAATATATCAACAGTGTTCAGAGCCTATTCAAGGTCTGTTCCCAATTCTGATTTTCCTTATTGAATCTCCCGTGCGACCACCAACGACGATTACTCTAGACAAAGTTGTCACCTCGCTTTGCGCAGTATCCAGATGAAGTCAAGAAACGTCTCATGGGAGTCAAGCACGTCGCCATCCCAGACGAGTTCAGAGTGAGCTTTTCCAATAGAAAAGACTGGTTTTTATTGTTAATCATATGGTGAGAGATGGACTTTTAAGGTAGACGAGAAGACCCACGACGAAATCGATGATGCTGCTATCCCTGACTCGTTCGATGCCCGAACCAAATGGCCTCAATGCCCATCTATTCGTTCCATTCGTGACCAGTCTTCATGTGGTAAGTATCCTATTAATATTGTTCTGGTGGAAAGACCGAACTGAATCGAAAATCCCAAGATTCCAAAAGTTTTTAAAAGTCTTCCTCTGTAAAAATGGGTTCTGGTAGGTTGTAGACCTTCAGTTCCAATAAGAAATAGGTGCCGCTCCCAAAATCATGGACCTTGGATCGATTCCCACCAAGAAGGCAAATTGAGCCTATTCTTTTCAGTGAAATCGTTTAGGCAAAAGTTACCCGTAGGAAGAATGGCATAAGAAATGACACTCTTGATATCCCAAAACCCTGTATGGGTTGAATACGGGGACCGGATCCTTTAATATTGATATTTACAAGTTTTTGGTGAATATTTTTGTTTTTTTTTTGAGAGAAGCAGGCAAGTTCATAACGTACCTAAGAGTTTTTCGTAGACCAATCCAAATTCTTAGTTCCCAGATGACCTGACCAGCGGAATTTCAGGCTCATGCTGGGCATTCGGAGCAGCTGAAGCAATGACTGATCGTATATGCATTGCATCGAACGGCAAGGAACAGTTCACGATCTCTGCTGACGATATTCTCTCATGCTGCGGAATTATCTGTGGCAATGGGTAAGCATTAGTCTAGCCTGGTCGCCTGTGACCTGTGCTGCTCACTGACACGATTCCGACATTTGATTTCTGTGCTTCAGATGCGAAGGAGGTTACCCACTCCAGGCCTGGAAGTTCTGGGTAAAACACGGTGTCGTCACTGGAGGTAACTACACCTCAAAGGTAAGAGAATCGGTTCGGAATGTGTCCGATCAGATTGAAAATGTGGATTTCAGGCCGGCTGCAAGCCTTATCCATTCCCACCATGCGAGCACCACAACAATGCCACCCACTACAAGGTAATCCCGAACTATTCACCCTGACACGACAGAACTTTTACGGTATCTTTCCAGCCATGCCCATCTGATCTCGAACCCACGAACAAATGCGAGCACAGTTGCCAAGCCGGTTATTCAACGAGCTACACTGATGACAAGCATTTCGGTGGGTATTACTGTAATCTGTGGGGAAAAAGTTTTTCAAATCTAGGGTGCAGCGGTAGACAGCTGATAACCGGTATCTCGAAGTAACTGATAACCGCTTACGCCGTTTCCGATCAGAGATCGTATAGCTTGATTAGGTGCCCGTTCCCGCATGTTTTAGGGAACTGATAACAGACCAAGAACTACCCATATAACTGCCGTTTTGGAGTTATCTCCTTCTATGGAGTCTGGGAGGCCAAAAACCACTCTAGGGGCTGCTAGTTTGAAAACCACATAAGCTTAAAAAACTATGTCATCAAGATAGTTAAGGATATACTCTCCTACTCTCTCTCATCCAACCTTCCCATCCACCCAGTCTAAGGTAAACAGGTGAGTTCAGCATTCAGAGATACTAGCCGAAGAATTCGGTATGAATAGAGAAACATACTTTTGCTCCTTTCTTCACGTACTGTTCTCTGATGGGTAGAAGATGAACAGTTTGTATGGGGCGGAGTTTACCCATACCACATTACCCCAGCTTCGGTACAGATTATTTTATTAGGCCGACAGTTCAAAGATCTGGCTTCTGTAACGCCATCCTTCTCAATACTATCCTACTCAACGGCCTTTTTTACTGAAAGGTAACATCCTGAGGCTGCTCGCCTTTTTCCTGAAGAGCGGTTTTCTTCAACTAAACCACCTATAAAAATGGCACCAAAGAAGTGGGTAAAGGTTATAAGTGAAATTCATTGATGGCAAATAATGATAAGAAGCCAATGTTCAGGAGCTACCGCCTATGCCGTATCAAAGAAGGTCACTGATATCCAAAAGGAAATCATGACCAATGGTCCAGTGGAGGTGTCCTACAACGTCTACGAAGACTTCGAACACTACACTGGAGGAATCTACGTGGTTCGTTAAAGTTTGGAGCAATTTGGAAAATGTCCATAGGCTTTCACTCAACAGGCGCTGTCTAGAACTGATCCGGTGTTCTGGAACTGACTGCTGCGGAATGTTTATTTACCTAGTGGGCAGGATATTTATTTGCCTAGTGTAGCTGTAAACAAAATTTCAAATGAAGCATGTCATACTCGATACGGAAGTCCCTGAAAGTAAAAATTAAAATAACGCTGAATTATAAAAATAATGGATAATATGAGATAAGTCACATCAAACGATGGCGTGTTTTACATTGCTCTGGGCGCATATATTTAGTACTACCGTGCCATGCAAGATCTACCGTATACTTTCGGGAACACCGTATTCACCTATGCGAATCTTGAGTTTACTATTTCTTTTCAGCACACAGCCGGTGCACTTCTCGGAGGACATGCCGTCAAAATGATCGGTTGGGGAACGGAAAATGGTACCCCATACTGGATTTGCTCCAACTCATGGAACTCTGACTGGGGAGAGAACGGTATGGACAGCTGAGAGTTTCACCTTCACTCAAAATCAGTCATGGCCGAATACTTTGCTTTCTAGGATTCTTCCGAATCATCCGAGGACTTGACGAATGTGGAATCGAATCGGGTGTTGTCGCCGGAGAACCCAAGCTGTGAATAATGGCTCGTAGCCGTATTGTATAGAATGATCTGAATGAAGCATTTCAATCATTTTTGGCATTGCCGTCATACCGTAACCGCATCTGTAAGGATACGCAAAAGCTCGTAAGGCAAGATTTATCGAACAATACCCTGTAGTCGCTAAGGAATATGAAGGAAAAAGAAAAACTGAAAGATCTAACACATTAAATAACAAACATTTTTGTCAAGCGTAAACAGCAGTTGATAAGCTGAAACTAAAGCATCACCTCATACATGGTCGGAAGTCTTCTGCATTTATTACTAACTGATAAGTATAGCTATATCGGGATGCTGTGCTTATGCTTGCTCATTGATGCTCAGCTGGCCAATCACTGGACTGACCGTAACATACTATCCTCAGGTATTTATTGTAAAAGAGGGGTATAAGGCTCAAATTTAATGGTGCAACGTTAGAGCTGAATGGTGGAAATCCTAGCAGATCTTTGCTAGTTGTCTCACACGCACTATAAATTCATTGGTTCAGGCTCGCCTGCGGGCGGGGCGATCGGAGCATGGGCTGACAGCACTCATTAGTTAACCTTAGTCTTTGGGGTGTACGAGCCCGGAATGACGAAAAAGCCATCTCCACCTCTGGAACGGCCTCGGAAATCTCCGGCGACAGGGAAGAGTTCACATACAAACTTTTCATTGCCGTTGCACCAAGCTACGCCTGCGAAATAGCGCGCACATCGTAGTATTAAGGGATGGATCAGAGGAAAAAAAAGTAAGTTTATTTTTTTTGTTCACTGAAACATACATTTCATCAGCCACTGCAATTACTTTACCTACAATGAAAGATGTCTTTTTGGCTCGACAATAAAGTATCGCTGACCAGGTAAGCAATGAAAAGCGTCAAGGGACGTAGGCACGATAAATTGTCCGACAATGTCCGACAGATTTCAGGGGTTGTAGTGGGTAGGATCGAAGGATCAGAATCGATCGATATCCATTTGATCAGGGGCCCGTGCACAAATTGATCGAAGGCGGTGCAAACTCAGAGGGGCGGGACCGTCTCAAGCCCCGCCCACTTGCTGATTTGCCACGTATTTCATGGACTTGTGGAAGAACCTTTCGTTTTTCTACTTTTATCGTGCCTACCGCCCCTAAACAGCCATAGCATCCACGATGTCACACAAAAAAAGAACCTACATAAACGTTTGAATACTCGCATTAAACTACCCAACAGCGAAAAACATCATATACGGAACTGGTAAGTGGTAAGATTTTACTAGGTGAAGGAACAAAAACTATTGACTAATCACTAAATGACTCTATCTATCTAAAGAAGCATAGTGTGCGGTTTTTCCAGGAAGTCTTTGAAATGACGTAACCAGACCGCTCCAACTGCTCCATCGACAACACGATGATCGCACGACAGGGTCACCTTCATCACTTTAGTACTGCGGTACCTAAAAATAATCCTGTAATTTGTATTGGATAACAAAGGAGAACTCGGAGTACTCCTAGGTTTTTATTTATAACCCCTGTCCACACTCGACTTCCATTCAGAATCGTAGTGGCAAGTGGCGCACTATATCACACGCACGGTCAGGGGTTCGAATCCCGGATCGATGCCTGCCCAGGCCAACCAAGCCTTTCATCCCTCCGGGGTCGGTGAATTGGTACCAGACTCGTCTGGGAGGATAAAAGCACTGACTTGTACATCGGCTGGCCACCGCAAGTCATTGTATAGGCC